ACGACGCTGTACAAGGATTTCATTGGGCAAACGCACAGTGCACTATACATCCATTTGATATTTATTATAGAGATTATCATATCAAAGATTAAATGTTTTCTAGTTTCACTGCAATCGCGGAGTTTACCAAGCACAACCATGTTTCAGTTCGATTATTCGTAGTTAATTGTATAAATTTCATCAAGAGTAAGATACCCAGCCTAACGAAAATTCACTTTTTCTCATATGGATCAGGCAGTCAGTACAAAAATAAGATGACAGCTTTTAATTTGTTCATGTGGCAAGGATTTTGGTATAGATGCGGAGTGGAACTTTTTCGCCACATGCCACGGTAAAGGTCCATGTGATGCTTTGGGAGGAGTCTTGAGACGAAATGCTGCTAAAGCAAGTTTGCACGGGCATCTCATTACAACTGCTAAAGAGCTTTATACATGGGCGATTTCTAAATTCGATTCAAAAATGCACTATGGCATTTTTTCAGACGCAGATCATAAAGCGATGGAAAGAAAACTTAAAACCCGTTTAGGCCAGAAAATGAAAATTATATTATTGTGAAACGATTCTCGTTCTCAGAAGAAGAACATACTGTGAAACTTTAAAAGTACCCAAGTAACACAAAATTAGGGTTTTATTTTGATTAAACTACTATAGAACCAAATACAATCATACAAAGGTTATATAAACTGTTATAGAATATGTGTGTTGCTTGGGTATCTTTAAGTATGTTTTATGTCTACAAATAAAAAAAAAATAAAAAAATAAAATATGATTTTTTTTAAACCAGCCATGTGCATAGTTGGAAACCATAAGATTGTCTTATCAAAGCATTGATTATAGTCCAAATATGGACTAGATATGCAGTTCCAAACAGTTCGTGAAAGATATGCTTCCCAAATTTAATATAAAAATATTCTATTTGAATTCCTATGCTATGAATCACTGTAGTTATTATTATTTACACATAACGCAAAAGCAATCAATAAATTTGATTCAACTTTCTATGAATGTCATGGTAGTCTAGGATCAGAAATTGAAATAAGTAAGTAATGTAACCATGTTACATTCGATATGTATCAATGGAGACGCAGGGTAATCTAGTCGTATTGGAGTAATGAGCGAAATTTCTAAACATGATAATTTCAAAAAATCGTTTCTTAAAAACGAAGAAAAATACATTGCTGATTTTTTGATATGTTGTTCAGAAAAGCCTAAATTTTCATAAAAAAAATTATATAAAAACGTGTTACGCCCATTGTCTACAAACCATGAAAACCATAAAAAAATAAAACAAAAACAATCAAAGTTCATCTATACAAAACTCCAATTTTCATAATAAAAAATATATTTTTTTTCATTTGATTTTTGATCATTCAAATCGGTTCAATGGTTGAAAAGTTTTGATTTAAAAAAAAATGCCATGCTTTAAAAAAATAAAAAAAAAAATCGTTTTTTTTTTGGACCACCCTAACAGGGAAATGAATTTATATAAGAGCTATCTGCTTAGCCCGTTAGAACTGGCCTTGATTTAAAAATTTAAATCTAGAATCACGAGTGTCGGGCCGTCATCACCTTTTTAAAAAAGTACAATTCAACTAAACTAACATTAATTTTCACTAATGATTTACTCTTACATACAGTTTTGCACTTAGAACGTAATTCACTTAACTAACAATACTAACTGACCACGTTCCTGTCATGATTGGTCCTACTTATAAGCTTAATATGTTGACCGTGATTCTCGATGAAATCGATGGGCTGGCCGTATCAAAGTCCGTTGCTAGGTTGACGATCCGCCTACTCAGGTGGTGCTGTGGCTCGCTGTGGCAAAGTCCGCTGCTGGGTTATGTGGTGGATGTTCCAACGTAAATAACTCTAGATCAGTTCTTTATTTTGGTACAAGCATTTATAGCAAAATTGTCCATATAGATAGAAGCTATCTTTTGACATCACTGGTTTTGATCTAGAACACCCTTTTATATAGATAAATTTTATTTTTTTATAGAAGTATTCTATCGATGATTCATTGCATAATCTTGGGCAAAATCATTCAAATAAATCAGATCTTTATTTTGACGTTATGAACGCTGATGTGAATCACTAAGTTTTGATATAGATCAATTCTGTCTTTTGATATAAGCATCCAAAGATGTTATGAAAAGGCACATTTATGGAATTAATTATTTTTGTACAATTTGATTGAGTAGCACTTAATTTAATTTTCATTGAAAAAGGAGCTGGTTCACTGTTCGAATGAATGGTTTTAAGCCCATTTTGAAGGATGCTTTATTCACAAAATAATCAAAAATATAATGAATACATGTGAAATTATTGCTTTGAATTTTTCGATCGAGCTTAATTTTAGAGGCAAAAAACACTTTTTCTATTTCCTTGTAATTTCATCTGTTATAGCTGTTAGGATTGAGAGTGTAAAATATTTGATTTTATCTATAAACGTTTCGTTTTCAGTATCTTCCGATCCCATTTCGAAGTGAAAAAGATCCACTACAGCTGATTTAATTTCATGTCTCTCCCAGAGAATTGTGTTAAACATACCGGAGTAATTTATTTTTGCATTTCATCGATATTTTTCCAGATTCTCCAGGATTAAGATTTTTGAATTTATTAACGACCATGTCATTGACCTTTATATTTATTTTTTTTAATTCACAAACGTCTCATAAAAAGGTTGATTTCCTTAAACAGGGATGCCAAAATTGCGACGGATGTCAATTTTCCACTTTGACTCATCGATCCCTTTCTATAGATACCCATATTGCATCGGTTTAGATTCATATACGCAGGCCGGAGGCTGCTATCTTGGATTTTGGTCCACCATCTTGGATTCCAAAATGGCGATGGATGCCAGTTTTTCACTTCAATTTATCAAGCCTTTTCTATAGATACCCATATTGTATGGTTTTAGATGCATTTACGTTGTCCGGAGGCTGCCATGTTGGATTTTGGTCTGCCATATTGGATTCCAAAATGGCAGCAGATGTCGATTTTCCACATCTACTCATCGAGCCCATTCCATTGATACCCATTAGACTGATGCAAAATTTGAAATTTTCGCTCCACAGTGCTCAAACGGTTCCAAATTGAGGCCAGATTAGCCTCACAAAATTTGAATAAGAAACTGACTTGGCGCAAACCATTTGATGTTTATATGGGAATTACTATGAAGAAACAGTAATTTCGGTTCATATCTATCTAAAAATTCACCAGTTCACTCTACTTTAGAAAATGATAGCTGAGCTTGTTGAAAATTTTCTCAGCTACAGTTTTGTTCCAGACCAGTTTTCGATCAAATGCAAGAAACAAAAGTTATTAATGATTCAAGTCACTGATGTCTAATGATTATGCTCAATCAACTGTTCAGCAGGCAACATTGGTGTTCATGGCGCGTAGAATAGAGGATAAAAATCATGGCTACTATGTCACACTGCAGAATGCAGTGTTGCCCACAATACAGTTGCTTAGTCTTGCCATAAGATTATCAATCTCTTAAACAATTAATAACTATTTAATTTGACGTTTGGCTGAAAAACGATTTCCTGCAAAGTTGTAGCTGATAGAAATTCCAATGAGAATAGCAATAGAACTTTTTAACAGTACAATATTGAAAAAGAGCAGAAGACAATGAACAAAAAAGTTTTGTTTTCCCATAGTAATTTCCATATAAACTTGAAATGGTTTGTGACAAGTTAGTTTCTTATCAAATGAGTTTAAACTTTCGGAGGATAATCAGGACCCGATTTGAAACCGTTTGAACACTGTGGAGCAAAAATTTCAAATTTTGCATCAGTCTAATACCCATATTGCATGGATTTAGATGAATATTCGCTGTCCGGAAACAACGATATTGGATTTTGGTCCACCATCTTGGATTCCAAAATGGAGGCGGATGTCGATTTTGCACTTTTACTCATTAAGTAAAATAAACAAATGCACTAAAACCAGCGTAATGTCAGTTCATGCACTGTATTAATGATAATTTTGTCCTTTTTGGCAAGTAATATTACACCATATTTTCAACACGATTGAAGTGCATCCACTTTGATGTGAAATTAAAATTTATTTTAGGCTGTGCATATTGGATTCCAAAATAGCGGCAGATGTCGGTTTCTTACTTTGACTGTAATACCAAGGTATTGATTTTCCATTTAGTGATTTTGTTACCTCAAAATCAGCTAAGGTTAAAATCAACCGTGATTTTCTGTTTGTGATGTTGCTGATCTTAAGATCAGCAGTGATTTTCGACCGTTCCTGATTTTGGATTTTTTTTTTATTTTGCCCACCAGACATAAATAACAATTGTTGGCCTATAGAACGTCACAGACGGTACTGAGAGATTTTATGGTTGAGTAAGTTTTAAATTTCTCTTGTCGCAAGCTTTGCTGTCCTCCAGCATCGTTGTAGTCTGATCCAACAAAGGTTTCCTAACCAATGGCAGCAATTTTTGAAGACCCTGTTTGATTAATGACGTCTTTGTTCATTTAGTTTAGCTCAGCATTCTAAACTGCCAGTCTTCATTAGCCGGTGCATGTGAAATAATTCATGCTTGCAAACATTTGCATACTGACTTCAAGCACTTCACACGTTCATTAACCTCAACGAGTACATGCTCATCAGTGCCAAAACCGTATGAATAAAATCACCGACAAGAGAAGACCCCCACACACGCTACGCATGCCCTTCGCGATCTACCAACCGTAGCTGGGCTTCACGCAAAGAAGTTCTCTCGCTACCCGCACACAACCATCGCAAATCGCTTCAATCAACCGTGGAATACCGCTAAATGGTTGCGGATGGTTGAGAACTTCTGCCAATTCTAAACGTCAACCAATCAATGCGATGTCACATACTGGCTATCATATGATTATGGATTACCACATATCCTTTCCGGGCTCCGTTTGGTTTCCATCGATTTTCCGTATAAATTCCGATCAATTGTCAACTTCGTTTCCAGTCAGTAACCTAACCTCCAACCTCCGTTCGCGATGAAGTTCCAGTGGCTAATCGTTCTGTTCGTTCTCGGAAGCTCCCTGAGTTCAGTTCTAAGCTACCCCCAGGTGACCCCAGTTGTAGTGACCACGTCGGAAAACGCCACCTCACCATCGCCCACCGTGGGCCAATCGATGATCGAGCAAGATCTCAAACGGGTGGCCATGATCGGGATCCTCTTCGGTGCCGTCCAAGGTGAAGCCGCAATGGAAAAGAAACTCAACCGGCAGCTGCAGGACCTGAGCCGGACCTTCGGGGTGACGAAATTCGACGTCAAAACACGCAAGGTGGCCGCCCTCGAGCGGAGCATGGAACGGGACAAGGTGGCCATCGGCATTCTGAACGGTGCGCTGGATTTGGCCAGCCAGCCGATGACCTACGAGCAGTATAGGCGTGAAATGAGAAAACTGTCCGAGGTATGGCAATGATATGGAAAAACACGGGTGTGCGTTTTTGAATGTTTTTGAATTTGATTGGTTTTGGAACGGACAGTTGGAAGGCTCGAGTATTGATTGGTTTCGATTCGGTTCGGTTAGCATGGTTTGATTGAATGTAAATTGAAAATTACGGTGGAAAAGTGTCCGTGTTTGAACAAAAGTTTCCGCTCAAGTTTCGTAAAACCGATGGATGGAAGTTCGCAGCGTATGGCGCGGAAGTCATCATTTTCAATTTTGAATTATGACTCAGTGAGAGATGCTTTGGGAAAAAAAAATAAACACAAAAAGCTTATTTGTAATTCAAAGGTTAAGTGATCGTCATGACAAAAATAATAAAAGTGGAAGTGCGACAAAATCTTGTTTTTGCTCATTAAGTGCAACCGTGAATTCAGACGCGTTGTTTCTGCGAACTAGTGGCTAGTGTATGTCATTCATTGTGACACAGAACAAGAGTATTTTCGAAACTACTGAGAGTTTAAAGATGTTACTTGAAGCCTGCCATACAAACATGCTTTTGTATGAAAGGGGGATATTTTTATTATAGGTCAGGTTTGGGCCAAAGGGTCTCAGAAGTTTGGGAAATTTTATCCACAGGTAGAGTTTATGATTATATGAACGAAAACAAAATTCGTAAAATTCGGGGTGATAAATCCCGGACATCTCGGACTTTAAAAATGCATAACTCATGAATCAAGCTTCGTTGAATGAATGTTGTTTACTAAAAGCTCAGCAATCCATAAAAATATACAATCTGAAAAATGTTTTCCATGTTCATTTTCATGATAGAGGAGGATTGCAAAGGCAATCAGGAAAACCCATTGTCCGTGCAATGAAATGTTTTTTTTAATGATTTTTGTTATGCTTGAAAATTTCTTATCGTTCAATGGTGAAAATTCAGAGCGGTGTCTCTTACCGTTTTTAAGATATGACCGAAAAACTAACGGCCCGTAAAATTTTTAAAAAGTTCCTTACCAAATGACGAATCGATCTGATGCCACTTTTTGGATTTGCTTGAAACTTTGCATAGTTGGTTTTTATAGCAATCATTTACATTTGAGCTCAAATTCGGCCATTTAGAATCTCGCATAAGAATTCACAATGACTCATTCGATATTTTCCATCAAATTATATCTCAAAAACGTCACTTCCATCCTAAATAACGTCAGGGACAAAATCATAGGAAAAAAATTATTGCTTACATAAAAAAACTACAAGGGACAGTCCTATGGGGTACGCAATGGTGACGTTTGTTAACTGCAGCAGGAGCTTGTGTTTTGTTTAGGAATAGGAATTTGAGAGAGGGTTCTCTCTGTTTATACTCTTTAATATGACTATGATTGCCCTGAAAAGAATCTTTTGATATGAATTTTAGTTGGGTCATGTTCAGAAATTTAACTCTTTTGGAAAATCTTGGTGACCCTGAAAAGGGCCGATGGTAGTAGAGGCTTAAAGCCTTTCGAAGATGATGATGACGTGTAGGCAGCTAGATCAGCAAATTGGACCGGACAATCCTACATATTCTTCGATTCAATGATTGGGCACTCGCAAGAGTCTCGGTGCGGCTGCTGCTGGACATGGGTTGACTAGGTGGCTACAACGGGTTGGGACGGGATACCTCAACGACGAATGGGCACTTGAAAGCGTCTTGTCCTGGCTACTGCTGGGCACTGGTTGACCCGGTGGTTGGAAAGGCGCAGCGAAGGATACCTCAACTTCACTACGAGAAATGGGCACTCAGAAGAGCCCGATTGCTTCAGGATTAGAAGCTTGGTTGCATCCTTTTACACTGCTGCTTATCTTGTGGTCACCGTAGCAAATATTTGTTCTTTTGCGGTCACAACTGCAGACAATGTCAGTAGGTATTGTCAATAAAAATAGGTGGTGTCTAGCTTTGAATCTCTGAACCATCGATCATATTTTGCGGTAAATTGAGCTACTCGGTCCATTGAACCAACTCTGAGTAGTTCTGTCCTATCAACCTCTATCTTGAAGATAAATTGGGGGCTCTGAAAAGGACCATTTGTGTAAATTCCATCAGCGATTCAACCTTATCAGATGTGGCAGGTGAGCAGAAATGAGCGGCACGCTGAAGGTAACAAACAGTTTGTTACCAAGTACCCCAATTTTCCGGTCCATGAATAGTTTGCTGTTTCTCCGTTTTCTCAGGCGAGTTCGGCTGGTCTTCTGCTTCTGGTCGTACACAAAAGCCTTTATGAGAGCAACAATTTGCTGCTTGCAATTGCAGGAACCAGAAATGGCAGGCAGACGGCTTCCTCTCGAACGGTTGTCCACAAAATACTCCATAAGAGCGGCAATTTGATGCTTGGAAATGCAGGAACTAGAATTGACAGGAGCACGGCTTTCTCTCGAACGACGAGTCAAAGTTGTCGTCTTCAAAATTTTGAAGATAATAATGACGATGAAATGTGATTCACTTGAGGGATGCAAAGATACTAGGGGAAACGCTCCTATAGTAGCGGTAAGTTAGACGCGTTAGGTTGCTATAGTTGTGCATGGAGACCAATACACAACTATAGGAACCTAACGCTTCTATCGTACCGCAACTATAGGAACGGAGATAATTTGGCACTGGACATCGAACGAAACACTACATGCTAACGACACTACCAAATGGGAGGAGCTTTGGTCAGCTATTGAATGTCGCTGGGCATGTTCCATACTTGTGGTCAAACCGATTACACTTGGAGCAGCGAGAACGCCGACTTCCAGGGTGTGCCCTTGGTCCTCGTGGTTGTTTTGACCTGGATTCAATTTCCTCTGGGTTCGGGTTGCTGCGTTTTAGATTTGTTCCTTCACTTGGTAAGTTCAGCGGTGCTATTTTGACATTAGCTGGGGAGCCTGCTTCTTGCTGATATGCTTCGTTGCGTGTTGCTGCTTGGACAATGTAATTGATGTCATGTCCATAGATTCGAGCAGCCCGGGTTATTTCCTGGTTCATCAGTCCCTTGATCAATTGCGCTCTTACAAACCTTTCTTGATCAGACTCACTGTACTGTAGCCGCAAAGCCTCACCTTTGCCATCAACCGTGCATGGAATGTAACTGCTGGCTCTTCTTTTTGCTGCCTCATATTTGAGAATGCCTCGTGCTCTGCGGCCGTGTCGGTCATCGATCTGAAGTATTCGTCAACGTTTCTCACTAACTCTTCGTAACAATCCGGCCGGGATAAGCTGGGACGAAGCTTTGCCGCTCGAACGATGTTTTGCAGCTACTCTCCCATGGAGAAGAAAAGTAGCTGCGTTTTGCGCACTGGGTCCCGAGCATTGCTGAGGGAGAGGGCAATCTCGAAATTCTCAATATAAGAATTCCAAGCCTCCCACATCCTCCCAAAGGTTTAATGTTTTCCCAACGAACGCTGCATGATCCATACTCGGCTGCAGAGGATACCGGTGCGTTGGAGCTGGTCCAAGTCCGCATCGCGTTTCAAGCATTTGCTCTAATTTTTCAATTCGGTCGACGGTAACGTTGCCTACCGCTGTTCCAGGGGCGTTGTCCGACCGAATGGCTGTGCTTGATAACAAGTTCGCTTGCCTTCCTCGAGCGTCAGTTTCGTCAATCGGTAGTTCTGTAGGATGTGCCATGCCACCTCCGCTATCTGATTCCGTGTTGCAGTCATCTTCCGAGCCAAACTCGCTAGATGCTCCTTCGTGATCCGTCGGATTATCGCCGTCTTCTATGCTGTCGCCACTTTCACTGTCCGTTCGTCTTCATCCGAATCAGACCCGTCAAACGGTGTTCGTCGTCTGCGATTTTCTTCCTCGTTTCTCCGCTCCCGGATGTATTTTCCCTCGTCAGCCATCTCGAAAATTCTGTTAAATGCCATAAAATGCTCATTAGTTTTCGTTGCCATGGTAATGATACCAGTTTTTTTTTTTTTTTTCGAACGGTTGCGTTCTATTTCTGTGGCCTTGCCACTGCGAGGAGACGATTTTTGCCTCTCATCATCTCATCCATCTCATAGAAAGCAACAATTAAGGGTATATCAGCTGAAGTTCCTCCTCTTTCTACGGTTTTGTCGCTTATCAATCGGACATGAAAAAATTATCATTTTTCGAGAGTTAGAAAATCATGCCCCACCCATTTTGGGTATTTTATTATACACTTCATCTGCTGTGACTTTCTGCAGTAAATTATGCGTTGCATAGAAACAGACGGTGGAATATCAGTGTCCACCTAGCTAAAACTCCTCCCCTTTTTTAGTTTTTCTCGTTAAACTCCTTCTCCCAACAATTTGGTAAATTTTAGCCTTAGCGAACCCCACTCGTATCAATACATTGACGTGAAAGGGAATTATTGACAATAATATTGATGATGTGACTACAGAAATTTTGTCAAAATCGATGTACAATAAAAGCAATCGTATAAGGTCCACTTTTAACAGAAAGAGGCTTAAAACTTTTTTCGGCGAATTTATGATCCTGTTCCACGTCATGGTTCTTCTCTATGCCTGTTCAGATAAATTATTAATTTTATTTATTTTCTCTACTGCGCTAAATCAAACGAGTAGAAAAAAGAAGGGATGTCAGTTACGCGCTAGAATAATTTAAAATTCGATAAATATTTATTCGAATAACTCTTAGGCATCCCTATAAAAAATTGTAATTTCATGTTTTTTTTGTAGTCCTTCGAAAATGCCGAAAAGCAGAGTTTCAACCAGCAAGTGTAATCCAAGATCCAAAAGGGGTGCGATGCTACTTTTCATTGCTATGATGACGACTGAATTAAGGGACTTAGAAGCCGAGGGATGAAAGTTAATTCTCTTCATCGATTTCCTCTTTGGATGACCATGGCTTCACTGACCTATTTCGAACATTTTTTGTTATGCTCTTCTATCATCGAGAACAACAAACGTTTCAATGAATGTGTGTTATTCGTGTGTGATTGAAAAAGGAGACCAAACTATGCTGCAATATTCTAATATCGGCCTTACATAAGCAATGTACAATGTTTTTATCGTAT